CTAGTACAAGTTCTACTAGGAAACCATTAACTGGTTGGTGGAAAGAGGGAGATTTATAGCTTTGCCAAGGGTGAAGTCAATACAATGAACCCGACTGAAATTGGAACTCGGCAATTTCCAATTTTGAGCCGTTTCAATTACACAACGCGCGCATTCAACCTTTTGCCAACCATTTGCGGGTTATTTCAAGTCAGAAAACATTTTTAAATTGTACAAATATTTCGGAGATAATGATTTTAATGTTACAAGTCCTATTAATTAACCCATAACTAGAGGAAGGGAAAAGGTAGAGGTAAATTTGCAGATTAAGCCCCGGGAACCAATTGTAATTAAAATTTCCAGAAAATTTCCATTTTGGTGTAATTTCGAAAGTAACGGTAAAAGTTTGCGGAAATCTACCATTTAGGCGTTATCGACAATATAAATTCGGCATTATTCGTGTCGCGACTACAACCTGGCAGTCATTTACACACGTTTGCCTCGAGAAGTCATGCAGCGCAGAAGTTTCACTCGTCTTGATTATTGCGCTCGCAATGCGCAAACTTTAATTTAAAATGAATGCGCAAAATTTAAAAAGCCAAGTTTTGGGTTATTAAATTTAGTGTTTTAAAAAGCCTGATTATTTATAAAATAAAAAAAAAGTGCTAGAAAGGACTTAATAACAACATGATCAATTTTATGGTTCATTTTTTTTTTAAATTTGGGGTTTTAAAAAGCATGATTATTTTCAAAAAAACAATCTTGAAAGGACTTTTAAGCAATTGTATTTAAGTATGATTATTTACAAAATAGCAATGACAATTGCAGAAAAGCTACCTTTTAAAATTTGTTTTACTATTTAAACAAGAATTCATTATTATTACAGATTCACTATAAAAATCAACACTTGTCATTGCTTTTCTAAATAACAGACCAATTTAAAAAAAAAATAATTCAATAAAAACTTCACTATTTACATTATTCGGACTATTGTCCTCATCTTTGTCGCCATATTTGTCACAACGTTTCGGCCTCTCAGTATTTGTCTATATTTCTGAAATGAGGTATTATGTACACTATTTTCATTATTCGGACTATTGTCCTCATCTTTGTCCCCATATTTATTAGAACGTTTCGGCCTCTCAGTATCTGTCTATATTTCTTAGATGAGGTATTATGTACACTATTTTCATTATTCGGACTATTGTCCTCATCTTTGTCGCCATATTTATTACAACATTTAGGCCAGTGTTTCTCAATCTTTTCTGGACCAAGTCCCACCAAATTGCTTTTAAATATCTGATGCCCCCCCGCCATGTAGTGAAATTATATAGCAGATGGAGTTTCCTACAATTAAACCCATTGATACTGCACTCATATTCTGATCTTGCCCCGACCAGCTATCCTACTCTACAGGTTTTGTTAATGTATATGATAAGAAAAAGATTTGAAAACTCAAGTAGGTTTTCAATATTGATAAGCAGACAAAATAAAATTCACAGGTAAAAAAAGCAGAAAATTTTATTTCATTTTATTAAACTACAAGAAATTGAAGGTTTCATATGCGGTCTACCTAAATAAAAAAAATAGGATGCACTTCAAAAAACTTCAAAGAACTTTGTGCTTGATGTCTGCTGCAAAGAGATTTTATATTTGGTACAAACTTAGTTAGCTTCAGTCTTAAATTCCCTCGTTTGGTGATATCTAGTGAATTTCTTTTTTTTAGTAGCAAATCATTTACAGTACTAAAGTCACATTCTACTAAATATGACGATGGAAATGGTAATAATTTTCTTGCAAAGCCAGTTGAGTTTGGATATTTAACCTCTGTCTCATCACAAAGCCATTCTGTCACTCCTTTCATATTGAAGAAAGCTTTGATAGACTCATCATTCTGTAATTCTGCAAGTTCTCTTTGGTACTGCACTGAAACATCACAGATTCACTAGCACTGGCTGCGTCACCCATAGTGGAAAATTAATCTCTTTTAAATCAGAAAATCTTTCTTGATTCTCAGATGATCCAAAATAACAAGTATAGCAGCATCAGTTGGCTCATATATCTTCAGCCAGTGAAAATGATCAAACTTTTTCAAAGAAAGTTGTTGTTGCCATAATTCAATGAGTGAAATAAAGCCAAATATCTTTGCTTTTACATCGATAAGGGATTTATTTCTTCCCTGAAGTTGTTTATTCAACATATTCAGTTTTACGAAAATATCTGCTAGATAGCATAGGTACGCTTTTCCATCAACATTTTGCAAGTGCATCATTTTGGGTTTATCACTTAAAAAGTCACTAAGCTCTTCAAATAGTTCCATAAATCTTTTTAAAAAAATTCCCTTAGAGAGCCACCTTACATCAGTGTGAAGAATAAGCTTCACATGATCGGCATTGTTATCTTCACAATATATTTTTGAAAAGACGCCCACATTTGGCATTAGACTTGATAGCATTAATGCATTTTATAACCGATTTCAGAACCTCATTAAGCACAAGAGAGATCTTTTTTGACACTAAATTTTCCCTATGTATAATGCAGTGCACAACAGATAATTCTGGATTCTCATCCTTCATCAATTTTAAGCAGCCATTTGTTTTTCCCATCATCACAGGGGCACTATCAGCTGCACACGATGTTATCTTTTTCATTGGTATATTATTGAAATCCAAGTAAGATTTTAGTTCACGATATATAACTGATGCAGTTGTGGTGCTCTCCAAGGATCTGCAGAACAATATCTCTTCAATAAATTCACCATTGTCAATATATCTTACATAAGTTATCAATAAGGTCTCACTGCTTTCCACAGTGGATTCGTCCATTTGCAGTGAAAATCTTTTTGATTTCAGCTTTTCAACAAGCTGTGCTTCGACATCATCACTCATTTCATCTATTCTTCTTTTCACACTGTCATTACTGAGAGGCATGGCCTTGACATCATTTTCTTCTTTGCCCAAAACCGTTTTAAGAAATGCTGATATAGATGGTTTAATTAAGTCCTCGCCCACTGTGTGATTTTTTCCAGCTTTAGCAATGAGTAAAGAAATTTCATAACTTGCCTCAAGAGTACGACTGGCAGTAGCAGCTTGTGCAGTGAGCAAAGTTTTTATAGTTAATCTTTTTTCAAACTTGTCTTTTAAAGCTTTGAAATAATTCAAATCCGAGTTTGCATGGAAGCTATGTTTAGCTATTAAATGCGCCTCAAGACGGCCTCGTTTCATTGATTCATTGCTCAAGGATTGCTGACATAAGAGGCAAAAAGATCATTTTTCATCATTGACAGCGGTTATAAAGCCAAATTTTAAGAATTCCTCCGAGTACTGGCGAACTTTTTTCTTGCTTGCACTACTCATTTTATGCATAAGGGTTACAACTGAAATTAAAAAATAACTTATAAAACAAAATTTACTTTCAGAATTGACAGACAATTTAAATACGTAAACTGTACTTTCTTTGTAAAATGATTTTTTTAGCAAACTTGTATTGACAAATCCAGTCTATTTTTGGAATTTTATGTAACACAAAGTCTGATTTTTAAAAAAATGCAAAAAATAAACCTAAAATTGAAAAAAAGTGAGATAATTTTTATTTTAAAGCGTTTTCACTTACTTTTCATTCGTTGCAATGAATGATTAATTAAAATATACGAAACTAATTGAAAAGGCCAGTTTACACAATATAATATAATTGCATTGAATACGAGCTTCAATACAAGCTTCAATACAAATAAATAAAATTGCTTGCTATTGAGGATACTTCAGATGTAGTATTCGTTCTATAACCACTTCCTAATTTTTAGAATTCACTTAGAGCAGGGGTGGGCACACTTTTTTTGTAAGCGAGCCAAAATTCGCTTTTTATCGCGGTGCGCGGGCCGGATATTTTGAAAATGTGTATTGCACAACGACCATGAAAAACAAACGTTTAATAAGTTCATTAATTTTAATTATACATTATAAAACTACTCAAGCAAGACTTTTTAGAGACGGCAGTCGGGAATTTCCCTATTTTTACATAGAAATTCATTTAACGAAATAAAATTAAGTAAATATTTTACTATTTAAAACTTTATTTAAAGAAATTTGTGTCCAAATTGGTTCTCTCATTTATTTAAAATTTTGCTATTTTTTATATAAAAATATTTGAACGTTTTTAAAGCATCGTTTACATTAAAATGACGAAAAGTAAAAAATTGTTTGAAAAAGTTCATAAAATAAACAAAAATAAAATATAGAAAAAATACAATTAATTGAAATATTTTTGGTGTTTTAAGGCGCAAAAACGTATTTAGAAAGTTTCCTTGTGTTTGAATGAAATAATATCATTTTAATAAATGAATAATATTTTTTTTTTAAATTTATGTTCAAAAATTATTTTAAGTTATTTAAAAGGTGATCAAAGTAAGTTTAAGTACATTTATGATTTTTTGTTTAATTAAAGAATGTTTTTAAGAATTTTTTTAGGTTTTTTTCCAAATATAATTAATTCGGGAAATTTCCAACATTATCTCTTTTAGAGAATGAAAATTTTTGAGAAATATGGCATCCATTTCGGCGGGCCGGACAAAAACGAGTCGCGGGCCGTAGTGTGCCCACACCTGACTTAGAGGAATCAAAACAGTCACCGAATTTCCAGGCCCCACGTTAAAATTCCCACACCCCACCTATGGCGACAAAACGAGGACAATAGTCCGAATAATGTAAATAATGTACATAATAACTCAGCTCAGAAATATAGACAGATAATAAAATCTTCACTTTCAAAAGTGTTTAAAAACTTCTTTTGGTTTTGCGTAGTAATTGAAACGAGTAAGAATATAGGAAGATGAGTAAAAAGTCCGTTAATTAAGGTTCTGTGCATGAGTACGGGGCTTAAACTGCAAATTTACCAACATGGATTCATACCTTTCCCAAGGATATTTGGATGTAAGTAAATATAACCAGCTCAACTGGACTTGAAACTCGGCCCTCCGCTTTCCAATTCCAAGTCGCTATTCATTACACAACACACTCATAAAAGCTGCAGCTGGTATCCCCAAGCGTTGACCCATCTAGGTACTGACAAGGCCCGACGTTGCTTAACTTCGTTGATCGTACGAGAACCGTTGTTTCAACATGATATGGCAATTCTCCTATCATATTTTAATTTGGTTTGAGTCGTATTGATGTAATACTAGAATAACAGTATTTTGGGGTCTGCCTGTAACTAGCTCTGCGTGATAAACGACAGAGAGCTATCTACCCTGTCTCTTTCGCTTCAAAACACGTATGCGATGGGTAGAGAGAGATAGTTCTTCGGTGTTTATATTTTCAACGACGGGTCATTTTGAAAATGCCAGCTGGCTTGAGAATTGCCGTCAGTCTCTCTCTCTCTTTCTTTCCCAGCCGCTCCTCGCTTCCCGAAAACACCGACAACAAATCACCAAACAACTTTATTCTCCTGCTATCCCAAACGACTGTCAATGTCCACCCGCCTCGCTCCTATCTATTAACACTAGAATACTTGTCAAAACGCGCGACCGGCTAGCAAACTCACTCGTTTTTTCAGGGAGGAGAGTGTCAAATGCTTTTTGCCGGAAGTTCGTGCACTCAAAATGCTCTAGTTACGAAGAGAGGAAATGATGGCGCTGTTAGGGTTGGAATATCAAAATTCATTTTTTTTTTCAACTTTCCTGTTTTTTATTTATTTTTATTTTTTCGTTATTTCATTTATGGATTCGTCCAAAATATGACTCGAAATATATCTATTGGTTTTTTGTATGTAAAGTTGTGATAGCTGGGAGGCTTCAGTCAGTCAGTTATGTGCCATGCATGATACACGCTTAGGCGATCATGTATCTTTCGATACATGACTGAGGAGGCAGATTTTTTCCTGCACTAGTTTGCCATTTCTTTCTGCGGTAGACCAATTGCCATCCAAGGCTATAGAACCTGATCTGTCCTGCTATTTACCCATAGATGGGGGGGAGAAGAAGAGGATTCATACCTTACCCAAGGGTATTACTATTAACACGTAAGTGAATTTCAGTCAGTTATGTGCCATGCGTGATACACGCTTAGGCAATCATGTATCCTTCGATACATGACTGACGAGGCAGATGCTATTTTGTACCTAAGTGGACATTCGCTTTTGAAGTCCCATCCCTCCGCCATCCATCAAACCATCCATCCTAAAAAAATTACTACACGCATGCACAACCAAAGTTCCATTCTATGACCATAATGGCAATATTTACACCCAAACTAATGGTGTTAGTATGGGAAATCCACTCGGTCCATGCTTTTCCAACTTCCTACGAAGAAAATACGATATTTACACAGGTCCGTAAATCGAAAATCTATGTTCGCTACGCAGACGATATTTTTATTTCAGCTAATAACATTAAAGAAATAGAGACACTTAAGACCACATTTGAGAAAAACTCCGTCCTTAACTTTACCTATGAACTTAGCCAAAAAAAACAAACTTCCATTCTTAGATGTCCTCGTATCATTACATCATTATACAAAAAATCCACCGGCAAAAACTCGTGCCACCTTAACTTCAAAAGCGAATATCCACTTAGGTACAAAATAGCAGTAATAAAAACTTTCTAAATAGAGCACACCAGAACTCATCCTCTCGACTACTCTTCCTCAAATAACTTAATAACGTTAAACAAACACTAATCAACAACGGCTTCCCTAACCACATTATAGACCACCAAATTAGACTATTTCCCCCCAAAGCAAGTAATAACGATAGTGAACACACAGCCATAAAAATCGCATACACATTTAATACAAAAACCAAATGCATATTAATTACAAACAAGACGAATCTTCTCTAAGGCATATTATAAAGAAATATACTACTCCAATTGATCCGAATAAAAATCAAATTAATTATCTATTATAAAAATTTAAGACAGCCAACCTTATCCTCAAAAATAACAACACACCAGCTAAGTCAAAATTACAAAGAACGAACATTATCTATGAGTTCAAATGCCCCTTAAGGAACTGTGTTCCTGATCAAACCAGACTCATAAATAATTACATCGGCTACACAACCACATGCTTATCCAGACGTCTTACGTTACACCTATCTGATCACTGCTTCATTAGAACCCATTTAAACATACACACAAATTTACCAGACTCCATTAGGAACATACTAGTAGAAAACACAAATATATTAACTGCATCCACCTGCAAAAAAGACTAAAAATAATGGAAGCTTTAATAATAAAAAAAGAAAAAGCCAACTCTTAACAATATTAACTACGAACAAAGCCACAATGTGCTAACCGTATTCGGAAATTAAAAACATTCCTACCACACACTAAGACATACACAGAACGCACACACTCAATTAAGCTGAAAAATCGAATCATCCTTGATAATGGCTAAAGGTATAACCGAAAGCGATCGGAACTATAAAACATTGGGACAGTTTTTACACTCTTTGTTCAGAAAAAGAAAGCTCTTGTTCGAACACAAGAAAAATTAAACAAAAGCTTAACCGTAGTTCTTTTTTCTGTCGTTTTTAATGAAACATGCATATATATATATATATATATATATATATATATATATATATATATATATATATATATATATATATATTTCCTCGATTGGCCCTTGAAGTTCATGGAGCATCGGATTGGCGAAGTTAGCACTAAATCTTTTTAATCATTTTACCCCAAGCAAAGTGATAATGCCACTAAGACGCAAATTGTTATTGGACTGGACGTGAATATGGCGGCAATATTCAATGAACGGACGAATGATAGATTTCTAAATGCAAAAGGTGGATTCTGACGAAATAAAGTGTCTAACACAGTACAGCGAACCAACCTACTTAACAGCAGACCCCGTAATTGATCCAATGTAATCAATCCACTTCATATCAGTAGAAAACATGTGACCAAGAAGGCACACTGAGTTGCTGTCCTGGAGGTTAGTATCAGCCATACTGATGAAGAGCAAAAATTGTTGTCTATAATCATTAAAGATAGCAGTTACATTTTAGACGCGTTAAAACTTACAAGCCATTACTTGTCCCAGTTAACAACTGATTGTCGCTCATATTCGAGAACAGCGATCAGTTTTGCCTTGTTAGATCTGTCGGATTTACTATTAAATTGGCGTGTCATCAGTACAAATACCTATTTGGGGACTAATGAGATCAGGAAGATTGTTGATGAAGATAGAAACCAACATAAGTCCAAGGATAAATCCCTAGGGGGCATTGCATTAATGTGAAATGATCTATAATAGTAGCCGTTATACACAACCTTAATTACCCGATTTGATATTAAGGAATGAATTGACAAATATCCGACCAGAGACACATTAATCCTTGAGCTTGTAGAAAAGACAAACATGCCAAATTCTATAAAACGCATTCGATATATCTAAAGCCACAACCCGAGCCTCGCCCTTTAATAAAGCCTAACAGACAAATTCAACCATAACAGTCAAAACATCAGCGGTTGACCGAAAGAAACGAAAGGCTTATGGTTTATCAGAAAGAAGGCCGTTTGAAGAAAGATGTTTACCAATTTCCTCGGCAAATCTTTCAGTGTTCTGCTTTATCTTTTTGTCAATCCACTGTTTGTTTTTACTTCTGAAACTGTGCTGAAATCCATTAGAATTAAGAAAAGGACTTATACACATTGCCAAGATAAAAACAAGGAAAAAGACGAATGCAAACTGGAGGACATTTGAGAAAAAATTAAAAAGGTAATAAACAAGAAAAGTGGATTGACCAGAAAGAAAATATTTGAAAAAGCCGGTGTTGCGAAAGCAAAAGATGCAGAACATTGTGAACATGAGATAAGGACCTGAAAAGCAAATAGCAACCACCATTACATTAGCATCACAAAAAGAAACGTGTAATTTGGTTGGAGAAATACATGACTTCTCAACAGTAAACTTATAAATAAATTTGGATTTAACTAGATGGATCTGATAATTGGGCAAATGCATGGTTTCGTCATGACTTCAAAAATAGCCGGAGGAGATGGAGTAATGTTTTCCATTAATACTGTAGGGCCGCTCAATATAGAGGATTAGTTGATATAAAAAGTGAGTAATTAGAGTAAGTCTACGGACAAGAGATTTGTCCTATTTTTTACAGTGTTCTCACCGTTCACAAGGCCTGAAGCCCGCTTGTGGTAGAGTTGATGGCCTGAATATTGCGTTTAAGCCTAAAATAGACTGTCGCCGCAAGGTGCTGACCTCATTGTCCAGTTTTACACATACCTATATATATATATATATATATATATATATATATATATATATATATATCAGGGTGTCCATAAAGTTCGTGTCCACCTTAAAAAATTATAACTTTATTTGTATTTGCGATAGAAATAATCTGTAAAAAATGTTATAAAGTTTAATGTACCTAGTTTTAAGTATAGCTAAAATAACTAATGTCATTTCAGGTATTACTGTAAATCAGTTGGCAAATGTTTTCCGTGAACTGCAAAATCGTATTACCCTTTGTATTGCTAATGATGGAGGACATGTGGAAACTTAAATAAAATTTCAATAAACCTTACAAAATATAGATTTACTTCTTTCTAATCCTTTTTACAAATTATTTCTAGCGCAAATACAAATAAAGTTATATTTTTTTTAAATGCACACGAACTATATATATATATATATATTAGCTTTAAACTCTTGATGTGTTTCAGATTAATTTTGGTCACCTCGGATCGAAGTCTCTCAGCTGTGATGCGAGATATGCTGTTTTTTAACTTTAGTTCACGTCCTAGAAATGTGGCTTTTAAAAAAGTTTGTTCCTCGGAAAATTTTAAATCTTTTACTGATGATTCCAAGTAGAGTTTGATGTAGTCAGGAAAATATGTGAAGATGATTTCAAAATATTAGATAAGCCGGATGGAATGATTTTCTCATATATACAGTTCGTTAAGAAATCCTTTCTGTTCTTATAGGAATGTGCGGAGATCAAAAGATTCTTATACTTTCGGATAAGTTTGAAGTCTTCCATGTTATAAAGTGAATTCAGGTTTGTATTTCCATTAGACAGTATGTAAGCAAATATATGGATATAGATCCGACAGTATTAAGAAAAACGGAGCGCTGATCTTATAAAACTTTCAGTT